GCAACTTTCTATCGCATTTCCTCTAGCAACTTATTGAGGCTTTTTTCACCGACTTAGTATAGCTTTTCCAAATAATAATAATAATAATAATAATAATGAAAAATAAATAAATTAGAATTAGATAGATTACATGATCAGTACGTACTGGTCCCTGCTGACAAAGCAGGAAACAACATAGTCTTTGTTTGTAAGGCTCATTATATTAAATGTATTTTAGAGGAACTTGGATTTAATTCTACAAGTGGTAATCCAACTTATACTCATAGTTCCCTTTCTAAGGAAGAAATTCTTCAAAATCATATGTCAGTTTTGAATATTTTTAATATTCCAAACAACCAAAATGAATTCGAATTGCCATATTTATATTGGATTCCGAAACTTCATAAAAATCCTTACAAACAAAGATACATAGCGGGTTCCAGTAAATGTTCAACCAAGCCTCTATCTTTACTCCTCACTAAGATATTAACAGTGGTGAAGGAGAAACTTCAAGAGTACTGTGCAACAATATATTCGAGAAGTGGTGTAAATCAGATGTGGATACTTAAAAATTCCAAGGAACTTTTGGAAAATTTGAAATCACAAGATTTCACCAAAATGAACAGCTTAAAAACTTACGACTTTTCAACTTTATACACAACCATTCCCCACGATAAATTAAAGTCCAGGCTTTTTGATATCATTGACAGCTGCTTTTTCAATAAAAATGGAACTCGTAAATATACTTACCTTGTCATTGGTCATTTGCAAAATTATTTTGTGAAAAAACATTCTAATTATACACACAAGTACTCTGAAGTTGACATTAAAAAGATGCTTGAGTTTCTGATTGACAATATCTATGTGGTTTTTGGAGACCAGGTCTTCCAACAATCTATTGGAATTTCTATGGGTACCAATTGCGCCCCGTTATTAGCAGACCTTTTTTGTATTCATATGAAGCAGAATTTGTCCAAAATCTTGTACGTGAAAAGAAGAAAACACTTGCTGTGGCCTTCAACTCGACATTTAGATATATCGACGACGTATTGTCAATTAACAATGGCTATTTTCATTCTTATGTCGATACGATATATCTTGGTGAACTTGAGATAAAAGATACCACAGAGTCTGACACATCTGTTTCATATTTGGATATTTTACTTGAAAAAGACGTTAATGGTAATCTAACAACCAAGCTTTATGATAAACGTGATGACTTTAACTTTTCAATCGTCAACTTCCCTTACTTATGCAGCAATATACCTTCATCACCTGCATACGGGGTATATATCTCTCAGTTGATTCGATACGCAAGAGCATGCTCTACGTATGTACAATTTCTAAAACGAGGTAAATTATTGACAAATAAGTTGATGAAACAAGAATATCAGCTGTCGCGTTTAAAGGCATCATTTCGTAAGTTCTATGGTCGATACAATGACCTTGTCAGCAAATACAATTTATCATTGAGTCAAATGCTGACTGACGTTTTTCATACTAATTGTTAGGCCATTATTTACACACTGAATTGTCGACGGATTTTTCCGTTATTTCCCGATCATGACAAGGAGCACACGGCGGGTGTGACCTGTCGGCAGGGGATGCTCACTCCTCCATGGCACCTGATCCCACCTCTGATGTTTGGAGGTCCGTGTTTGCTCTGCTCCTATTTTGTATTGTATAATGGACTTTTGAGCTTGAATACTGTTCGTTATCTCCATATATTCCATTAAAAAAAAATAAAATAAAAATAAACATGTATAAACATTTACTTTCTTTGAAGAACACTTTTACGATCTTTTTTTAAATACGTACATATAATTATAGATAAATACTGTTGCTTGAAGTTTTGACTTTGTTGCTTGAAGTTTCGCTCAATATGAGAGCCTATCTTTAAGTAAGAATTGTAAGCCTTCGATACCAAACCTATGGAGAGAAAGATCATAGGCATCTATGCCTGCTTTTCAATCCATTTCAGGTAGAGCGCTCGCTCCGTGATCGGGAGGTCGTGAGTTCGAATCTCGGCCGCGACCGACCTAAGTCGATAAAAAAATAGGTAGCAACTGTTCTAGCGCTCGGCACTTTGAAGTGAAAGTTGCCGGTCTTTCGGATGAGATCTTAGAAACCGAGGCCCCGTCTCACGGTAGGTTCAAACTTTTTTTTTTCACAACCAATTTTTCCCCCAATACACTAAATTCCTAAACTTTACCTACGCTACGGCAAACAGAGGAGGGAGGGGGCAGTCTTTCAATGAACATTTTCAAAGTTTGGAAAAAAGTGGGAAGGGGCCCTAGGCCTGCGTCCCTGATTCTTCGTGCCTGATAAATAACTTGTTTTCAGACAGATAATTTTGTTCCACAGTATTTATATTAAATTGTGTGGTACACATACACCCTCGTAATGGGGTGAAAGAATTTAGTGACAGGTAATCTTGCTGAAAAGTGAACCCCTCATCCGATACAGCTTTTTAATTATTTTTTTTTTGTCCGAAATTCTTTTTTGGACCTTTCTCTCGCTTTCTCATTCTAGTCTTCTTTCAACTTCACTGGATCCTCGACAGATAAGAAATCACAACTCTGTTATATGTGGAATGATCTTAAGTAGAATATACGGGTGAAAAATTTTACTAGGTGAAATATGAGTCTTTGTTTTTATATGCATAATATTAACAGCAATGTCTACAATATAAACTTATGCAGATGCAACACGCTTATATTGTGCGTCGAATTGTAAAATCTGAAAATATATTCAAACATCAACCATGCACGTGTATAAATGACTGAAAATACAAGACTTCAGAATATTAATTAATCTGATCAGTCCTGACCAACGGCATCCAAAAAGATTAAGAATTTATCCCCCCCCCTTTCCAAAAAATAATGTGTTGCAAGGGGACTTATCGTGACGTCATCTTTGAGTTTATTGCGTAATTTATTTACATAGATGCAGACGTCAACTAGGCCGTTTCAGTAGCAAAATGAAATAAAGGCTCGGATTTTTAAAGCATTTTCTTTTCTGCAATAATACTTTTAGTGATTTCATTAGTCAGCTGAACATTTTTATTTTATTGCTTTAGTTCATTAAATTGATCTCTTCCCTTCTTGCTGGCAACATTATCAAGTGTAAGGCTTACTTGTATAAAATAATATGCCATTTCTATAAAACATTTTTTTTAGTTTTTATGCTATTTTCATGACAAATATATTTGTATGAGCAATATAAATATGGTCAATCAATAATAAATTTATTTTGTAACATTATTACACGAAATGCACCATTATTATTACTCCTAGATAAGAATTCGCCTCTCGACTAACTTGGTATCCGCCACCGGAAATAGTCATGAAATGTCAAAATTAACATACTGCACATTCCTCGAGCAAATTCTTACCATTATTTTTGCTTGTCTTTTATCAAATTATTTTTAAACATATATGTTTTATTTTGCTCGAGGGATGTGCACTACTTCAATTTTGGGAATTTGTTGTAAAAATAGTGGGAAAAATAGCAATTTACGGAAAGAACGGATGTTTAAATCATGTGAATACCTCTAATCAACGTACTTGTGAAATTTTGTTATGCATATATCAAAACTACCAATCTTCTTCTACATGTACATAGCAGTTATATTTTTGCAAACGTGTATTTGAAAATACGAAAAATTGTGGGCCTTCGAATAAAACGTAACGTACTTAGTTCTTTATATATATATAATGTATATGCCATGTAAAAGTGTACCATACTTTATTTGGAAAATATATCATTGAATTATATAACTCTGTATTTATGTGAATTTATTATTTGGAAAATATATCATTAAATTATTTAACACTGTATTTATGTGAATTTTTAAAGTTGCTTTAAGGATTAATGAACCTCTGTTTTTTGTAAACTTCCCAACATCGATTTTCATCAATGGCTAATTAGCATCAGCTTCAAATGGAAAACAATATGAGGTATGAAGCGCTGCCTATTTTTTAAGAAATGATTTTTTCTTTCTTTCTTTCTTTCTTTCTTTCTTTCTTTTTTTTTTTTTTTTTTTTTGTCAGAGCATGATATGAAGAAATTTTAACACAGAGGATAGAAAGAGTAATAATTTAATATCACAACATAAAATTAAAAATATGAGGTGTATAAGAAAATAATATTTGGTATTATACCTATAAATTCATATTAGAAAACATAATAAAGCGCTGCTTCCTAAGTCAGAATATCACAATGCTGTATGTAGTTGTAAGAAAAAAAATATATCTGTTAGCAAGAGTTATCTTTCTTATATTTTTTTCAGTGGAAAATAAATGTAATACTAATTAAAATTCTTCATTTGGTACTTGAAACATTAAACAATTTTTAAAATGGTTCTTAAAAAAGATAGAACTTATTCAAAATTTATAAGGCTTTTAATACTGAATTTAAATGTTTTTGTTATAATATATAATAAAACAATATGAAAAGTATAGGCAAAGGAAATAGAAGGTAATGTTTCCATCATACGTAATGTTCGATCGAAATGACTACTATGAGGGCTTGATAATGAAACTCTGATGATGAAAATTATGAATAGTATTTACTTGGAAAGTTATCTCTCTTGTCAGAGGGTCGGTACCCCTAAATTATTTTTTTTTCAGTATACATGTACTGATCATATATAGGTGTGTGGACACTGTGCATAAGATGCTATGTAGTGCATATATACCTACATATATACACGTATGCCACATTTGGAAAATTTATTTTAAAAAAGAATAACAACTTGCATTTTTTTATATTCTTTACGCAATCTATGCTAGAAAATGTAATTGCGAATAACAAGTAATTTTTTAGACACAATGATTTATCTGTAAAGAAATTTCTAACGTGAGCTTCTCTCTCTGCTTTTCTAAACTGCACTTTTAATGCAATTTAATGCAATTTTAAACAACCGCAATCCACTCCGTTAATTCAATATCCCAGTCAACAAGGTAAAACGTGCCACAAAAAAAAAAAAAAAAAAAAAAAAAAAAAAATCAAAATACAAAATGGCGTTCTCTTTGGATACGTGTACAGCAGATGAAAAATTCACAAATTACATCACTCTGGTGGTTGCCTTGAAGTACACTCAAGAAGGATTACAAGATCTTGTGAAAAAGGCAATGGATGATAGGTATGTGAAGTTATCTACTAAGTGTTCGGGATATTTACCGTGCAATAACGACTGTCCCAAACAGAAAAAATCAAGGTTTAATGAATGGTGTCTCACTTGTTCAAAATGGAGAGAAGAACTTTGTCGGTATATGAGATATCCAGGCCATATTAATCGCATTCAATGGAAGTATTTTGAATCGAGTTCCTGGGGTAGAGACAGTAAACCATCTACAATAAATCAAATTGCAAACGTCTTTGTGCATAATTGTAAAAATCCAACAATTCCTTGTACAAGTAAAATATCGAAGATCGTGTCGCTCTTCGACAACTGCCGTTATTTTGAAATAGGACAGAATACAGACTTGATGAACAGAATTCGTGCTGTGCGAAACATTCATTTTGCCCACAACACGTCATTTATTGTAAATGAAGAAGATTTGATATCATGTTTAGACACGTTATTGGACTCTCTTGATCACAGATCCATTCGTACCAATCAAATTTGCAAGGAATCTGTAATGACTATATTAAATTTAAAACTTAAAAGCCAAAGACTACAATGTTCAGTAGTTACAAAATTATTAAGCGTTTTTAATAATTATCCCAGTAATTCCAGTAATAATGTGAAAGTGAAGACAAAAATCCAAAAGTTCATGGAAAATACCTTGCAAACAGAGTGCGGAGGTAGTCAAGAACAACGCAGTAAACAAAAGAGATATTGCATTTTTATGTTAGGAGTTATTTTAGTGATGTTTTTCATATTTATGATGACATTAAAATTGAGCAACAGTAATAAGACAGACAACCAAAATACAGACATCTTTGAACTTCATGGAGGTAATTTTGAAAATTACATGAGAGGGAGAGAGAGAGAGAGGCATGAAGCTGATTATTTTTAGACCATCATGGAGAGCCATACCTTGTAAATAATCTTAAATTCTAACACAAACATATATATATTTGAAACAAAATTTATGCATTTATCGTTCAACTGAGAGAGAGAGAGAGAGAGAGAGAGAGAGAGAGAGAGATTTCAAACTTAATGTAGTTTTCTATATTTCTTTGTAGAATGCAAAACCATGGATTTCACCTTTCCTTGGAAGAGTGACATATACTTTGATTACTTTATAAAGGCTCGCAGGCACTTTGTTGGAAGGGAATGGCTCATCGAAGATATAGCTTACAATCTTCTGAATACGGATGAAAGAGGCGTGCTACTTGCTGCAGAGATAGGTTTTGGTAAAACTGCACTTGTTTCACATATTTCTTGTAGCAGTACTAAGCTTTCCCCAGCCTTTCCTATCTACAAAAACTTGATAGGCATTCATTTATGTAGCTATGATTTTGAATCAACAATGATACCAGGTATATTTGTTTGCAATATGGCTGTTAGTCTTGCTCATGTACTACCTGAATTTGGAAACATTATACAAACAGACAGCATGGCAAACGAGTATCTCTTTAGTAGGAAATGTATTAAGGAGCCATATGGTTGTTTTGATTTTGGTATTTTGAATCCACATCGCAGAATAAAACTAGAGTTCAACAAATTAATTTTCATTATAGATGCTTTAGATGAGTGCATTGAAATTGGCTCAGGAAATATTTTTTCATTATTAAGTGAAAGAGTTCATTTATTGCCAGCTAACTTAAAGTTTTTATTCACTTCTAGAAATATCTCACATATACGCGATAATCTTCCTCCAGGAATGCTTGTTTACCATAATCCTCTTTTCTGGAAAAAAAAATTAGAGGATATTAAGAAATTCATAAAGAGAAGGTTAGATAATACTACTGTAAATGAACAAATTGAAAATCTTTTATCCAGTTCAGATCTTGATAAGAATGCCTCGCATGGATCTATAAAATTTTAGACATCAATGATATACATACGAAATTAGTGTTTTCTCGCTTTATTTCCAATGAGTTGTCACACTTTCTCATAAAAGGATTGCTGATTTCTTTTCCAAACAGGACAAAATGGAAAATGAATTTTATGTTTCAAAACAAAATGGCCATCAACTCAGTACTGGCTTAGCCAATTAAATGAACATAATTTAGTCCTGAATCGATCGGATTTGATTGAAATATTTAGACACGTGGCCAGTTCAATGAATGTAACACTCAAGAAGCAATTGATAGATGCTGTTCGTCACAGAATAAACGAAAGTGAATCGACATTTCTAACGCATTACACAGCCGCATCAATAGATTCATATCACACTATGAAACTTGTTATACAGTTTATATCTGGATCTGATATTGACAAGAGAGATTCTGGAAATTTAACGGTATCTTATGTTGCTGCTGCATATGGCAATGAAAATTTCCTTCGTGCTTTAATTGAAAGTGGCGCAAATGTTAATTTCAAACGACCACAGCCTGCTTTCAGTCAATTTCCACTTAAACAAGACCTCATAGCTCTTACCAAGTATGATATACACACTGGGGTTACAGTCTCTTAAACATTGCCTCTCAAAATGGAAATTCAGGTGTCGTAAAACTTCTTATGAAATATAAAGTAAATCTCTGCTAGGAAAATGGTATAGGTCTTAAGGTATTCAATATATAATGAAGGGATTTTGAACAATTTTGAATCATCTTAAACAAGTTAAAAATGCATTGCTAGATAACGATGAAAGTGAAATGAATCAAATTCACATGACAGATAACATGTAGGAAACCAGTCATTTTGCACCTTAAAGTTTTTGAAGAGTTATCTGCCCTTGACGAAAAGAAGAAAATTTTAATTTTTTCAAAATATCTATGGTGAATGATTCATTTTATTTTATATTTTAATAAAGAAAGAGTTTATGCATATATTCACCAAGAGATTTGTATGAAATTTAAATTACTTTTTACAATATTTTAATAACACATGCGCTGCCCATAGACTTCAATGTTAACTTCAAGGTACAGTTAATTGCAAAATAATCAAAATTTGGTAAATTCCTTTGGTGGAGTATTTTTGTTTGATATCACCTTCAAAATGCTACCATATTTTAAAAAATCGGACCATTCATTTATTAGGCACAAAAAATGGTATTTATACATTGAATACCTTAATTCGTTTCATTTGGCATCCGAACAAGGACATGTTCCCATACTTATTCTTCTCATGCCATCGAAAGATTGTGACTGGACGTCCAGCTTCAATCACTCATTGTATCTTGCTGCTAAAAATGGACACGTATTTGTTGTAAAATATCTTCTCTTTCATAATGCTATCGACCACTGTTTACCTTGCAATGATGCCATTTACTGGGTACCAAAAAGAAAAGAAAGATTACAAAGCAGAGACCCAAGACTACTTTCCGAACTAGATGATAAATATTACGTTTTAAAGGACGATCAACGTTTACTATTTATATGTTTAGATTTAGATTTAGATGTTGTCAAGGTCTTAACAAAAAAGAAGATAAATGCATTGAAATGCACAAATGCACGAGGAATGACTCCTATGATCACTGCAGTAGCATTCAATCAAAAAGATGTTCTTCTTTATTTTATAAATACTGGGCTACCTCTTAATGATACATGCAGAGCTGTATGCCGCAGGCAATATATAAAGGACCCTAAATTGTGTTCTAAAGGTGTTACATTTTGGCATATAGTGGCAATTTATGCAGAGTTTGAAATATTGAAATCTCTAACCAAGAAGCAAATTAACGACTCATTATGGAATGCAACTGATTTGGATGGTGCGACTCCTATGCATTATGCCTGCTACAACCACAATTTTATCTTATCTGATTTTGACTTTGGTTTGCATTTAGCAGATAGAACTTTGAATGGATCAACGCCTGCTCACTATCCAATACTTTGTGGTAATGTTTTTATCTTACAGCAAATCTTAGCAAAAAATCAGACATTGGTTTTGAATGTCAGAGATAACAGTAATAAGAATATTTTACATTACTTATTATTTACAACATCAGGACTGACGACTTTGAGTATTTTGTACCAGGATATTATAAGAAGTTATGAAAGGCTAGTCACTGAAAGAGATATTGACGGAAGAACACCTTTACATTATGCTGCTATGATAGGACAATAACTGGTAAAAAGATTAATTCATATAATTATCTTACAAAATATAAGTTTAACATGTCAGTTTTAGACGTTCTCTTCGAGAACATGCCAGCATATCAGCCAATACTTGAACATTATTTCTCACATTTGCCTTACAACTGTAGCATGACAGATTTATTCGGTAGACCAGGATGTTTGAATCTCCGCTTGCAAATACTGGATCCATTTGAACAATTTGCTTTTGAGGCCTTTTCTGCATTAAATAATACAAATCTTATCAAGGAACGAGATGTTTTTTCCTTCTTGTACAAGGCATTGGGCAAAAATCGATTTTATTTGCTTTATATGATAAAACTTTTTTATCAAAGATTTTATGAGACCATAACAACAAGTGATAAAAAGGTCAAGGTGTTTCTAAGACTTCTTATTCGAAAATCTACGTATCCCAATCTGTTGCTCTCTTCATTATTTTTAAGTGATCTTATAGGAAACTCCTGCAACAATAATCAAGATGGATCTCTTTGGTATATCTTGTATGACAGCCAAAGGAAATTTTGGCCAATCTATGAAATTTTTAATGACACAAGGCTTACTGATAAAATTGAAACATTTTTGGAAAAGTGCAAACAAATCAGACCGCTCAATGCCATAATGAATGGAGGGAATATATATGTGCTTAATTTCGTTGATACATGAAAACTTCCTGCATTCGATTTAAAACATGATTGTGACGTAAACCTTTTGTTTGTGTTGTCCATTCTATAGCTTAATGTTGAGCTTACTCCTCAAACAATCCATTAAGTTACCTGTAAGTGTCCATTCTTTTTGGATAACTGTCCATTCTTTTAAGAATAGACAGTTTTTTCAAAAGGAATGGACAGTTAAAACAAACAGAATGGAGAGTTACAGGTAAACTTTGGAATGTGTTCAAGAGGGAAACAAAAACAAATATATTAAATACTTCTTAATTTACATGTAAATAACAAAAAGAACGCGGAGACCAAAGTTAATCTAGAACACAAAATCTACACAGCATCCACTCGATTTTACTCTTTTAAATCCATGAATGATGCACATTATTTCAATACCCAAAACTTTATTTTCACAAAACCTGAATTCAAATGACACAATTTCACATTTGATTTTAATTTCGGAAAAACCATTCCCTGGAGGAGAATTCATTTTCAGATAGAAGTACGTCTAATATTAAATCCTCCACCCAGAAAAAGTTTGCACCATGAACACTTCACTGCTGCAGTTAATATTTCGGTAGAAAATAAATAAAAATGAAACATTTCCAGATTTGATTTGAAAAACATTTCAGGTCGAAGATTGGCTCATGGCTAATCCAACACTCAGAACACAATTTGCATCTCACCATTACACTGCTGCAGTTAATATATCCTCAAAAATAGAATTCAAATAAAACATTTCCAGGTTTGATTTGAATTTGATCATCTGTATCTGTCGTCGAAGTTCATTTTTGGGTCAAAATTTGGCTAATATATTTCTTTTACTCTTCCTTTTCTGTTTCCAGATCCAAATATCACTAATTTTGTGCATATTTTGGTTTATAAGAATTTGATTCTGTCATATACCCTCTCCATCACAGGAAAACAGGTATGCCTTTACAACGCAAACTGTAAACTGATTTTGAAGCATCGCATAATTGTATAAATACTAGTATCCCGCAAAATCCACCTGTAACTGTCCACTCTTAAGACAGAAACCTTTTGTTATTTTCATCTGGAAACACAATGGCTATTCAGCAAATTGCGCTGCATCCCTAGCTTACCTGTGACTGTCCATTCCGTAAACAATGAACTTGCCATTGTATGTGTGCTACCTGTCATTTTGTACATTTTATATTTAATTTTCAAAACAAAGGAAATCATGTTTTAAGTAGAAGAAAGGCCTCAAACTGTCCATTCTGTGAGAGAAAGAACTAATCTCGGGCCTACGGCCCTCGATTAGTTCTTTCTCTCACAGAATGGACAGTTTTCGGCCTTTCTCCTTTACATAGATCATGTTGTCCATCTTGCTCCATGTATCATTGCAAAGTTAAAGTATTTATTCCCAAAGACAATATATGTAATTAATAAGATGTTTTATGCAAGTGACCCAAATTTAGTACCCTATTCACATCCTGAAATAGTCGAAATGACGTTACGTCGTTATTCTTTTTCTTTCGGTTGTTGTACTCTAAGCTGTTTTCGCAGACTGGATACACTAAGCTTTGTTCATATTGCTGCTGCAAAGGGATTTTCAAATCTTATTTATATTCTTATTGACAATGCAGATACAGATGTTTTAGAATGCCGAAACAAATATCAAGTTGAACCTAGCCAGTTTGCTTTCTTTTTCAAACACAGTATTCCATATCAAAGAGCGATTGACACTAACATTTTTTATCAAAAGGACTTTGTATCACTTTCATTTAAGGTGATAATGGACTTCCATACTTTTGTTTTTCCAAATCAGTCTGCAACGTGCTCATGTTATCACTACCTACACAAAATTAATAGAAGGTCTGTGAAAAAGCTTTCATGTTTAACAATTTTAGAAAATGAAATATGTCAACTGATAACTGAACTCTATGCAAATGATATTTCCACAATCTACCAAATATACATGTTTAGGAAAGTATTTGAATATACAAATCATGGGCATCGATATCCATTTAATATCATAGATTATATTCACAGGATTCGTACCTTTTGCCTAAGAAAAAAAGTAGTGCCTTATGCACATGTTGAAAAATTCCATAAATTTTATAAACAAATTCAAAGACATCAATGCATAAAAATGTCAACTTCGACAAGAATACAAAATATTGTCTGAGACAAATTTCAGTCTTTAATAAAATAAGAAAGAATTCAAATTTTAAAATTCAATCATGTTTACAAATGTTGTTTCCATTGTCTTACTTGATATATGACAAATTTATAATACATCTCCCTGACCTCGCTCAGAAAGATACCATTGAATTGATACAAATAATGCATGCATATGCATCAGCGTCCGCCTTCCATAATACACCTATATACGATTATTGGAATAGGTTAAACCCCCCATTTAACAACCAACCCTTTTAGAGTTATGACACAAACAATACTCAGATCTAATATTACAAAAATTCTTTCTTGGATAAGTAAATTTGAGATTAAAGAAAATGAAGACCTAGACAATTCTAAATTTCAAAGCAAAATCTTTCTTATAAACCCTTTAACCGTATATGAAAATATGACCAACAGATAGTTTTCATATGACGTATTTTCTCTCCGAGTTTATTTCCCTTGGCCGCCATCTTGGTGGTCAACCTGGTATTTTTTCCTCTTTGTCCTACCAAATCTAAGAGGGTGTACCAGAAATATTTGGGGGGGGGGGGGAAATCTTATGGAATAAAAATTATGAAATAAAGGAGGCTTTAACAAATGTATATTTTTCAGAAAAACAATGCTTCCTACCCCACAATGGCCAGTATAATAAGTCAAAGTTGGTTAAATAATGAAGGAATATGAGCATGTTGACCTCTAATATGGCGGCCAACGGAAAATAACTCTTGCTAATTTGGGCCTACTGAAAACTATCTATACTTTTCTGCGTGCAAGTTTCAAGAATACCCATAAAATGAATTGATATGGAATAAATATCTGCCCTATAATTATGTGTTTTAAAGGCATTTTAGCGTCTTGTGCTCAAACATCAATGAACATTTCAAAGAAATGATTGAAGCACAATGTACATGATCTAATCATATATCACAAACGTATAAAATGTGCATATGATCTTCATCAATTTTAAGGTCACCTGAGCCAGTCAATTTTAATCGAATTTTCTATGAAGCATCTATGAATGAAGTTGAGCGAAAAATTTCATGTTCCTAGGCATTCTTGGCCCAAAGGGTTGAGCTGAGCCATGAAATCCATTCTCATAAAATGTTCTGTTTCCAACAACATCAAGCAGACCAACTGTTTGCATGATTTTGAAGAAATAAAGTCTTATACCAAAACTGTGAAATAAATGCCCCCAGGGTCAAGTGTTAAGGCCCAAGATTGGGCAAAATAGTAATACATGTATATTAAAAGTGCATATCTTGTTTAAAATCGCCTTCATTTCCTTAGCTTGTAGATTTCTAGCAGAAAAAATTCTAATTAATACATTGACATATTGCAGAGTGCCCTGGTGACGGAGTTAGGGCTCATTGGACTTGCATGATTATAATAGGAGACTAACTTTTTAAATAAAGTTTGAAATCCATATCCCCGGGGTTCAGGGCTTAGACTTCACGGTAGAGGTAAATTTGTCATATTAATATTGAAATCTCTTATACCTTTGAAGATCTTTTTTTCATTAATATCTAGCTGGCAAACTTTTGGCATGGTTCTATTGAGCAGTTAGCCTCATATCAGATATAGTTTGTGAAATTTGTGTTCCTACGACTTAAGGTCAAGTTCCTGGGTATGACTACGTTTGTTTTACATTTTGAATACACAACACCTGAGGAAATCTTTTCCATGGCTCATAACATCTAGCAGATAAACGTTCATGAATGATATGAGCAGCTACCACTCTGACAAAAATGTGAAATTTGTGACAGTCACTAAAACACGAAATTTGTTTGCCCAGGGTGTTTTTTTTTTTCACTTGTTACAATGAATTTTATCTTTATTTTTTTCCCTACTTCTGCGGTTTTGTGAGAAAATTTCATGATTTTGATAATGAACGTAGAGTCCTCCCTCTCCTACTTGTAAAATTCATGAAATATAAGTTCATAATTACAGGTTTAGATTGGGATGAGCTGTATCTCTTAATATCCAGGCAACAACCAAGGCCAGTAGCATATTTTTCATTGTTTGAATCATCAGTTTATGTAAACCTACAAGTTTCAACATTCAGTATTAAGCAATGCAACTGTTAGTATTCTTAATAGTTTGAATGAATGGACTTATGTTATTTTCATGAATCGATATTTGGTAATTTTTATTCAGTTGTTCATTTATGTACTAAGATTTCTTTTCTGTTTAACTGTACCTGAATAATTGTAAATACTAGTAAACATACTTGAACAAATGTTCATTTGTTGTTTTTTGTGCTTTGATGTAAAATCTGACAATCTGACATACTTATAAAACTGTTACTATGACAGTAACATGGACAAAAGAAAAAAATAATCACGTAATGAATCACATTAATATTGAATTTTACAATTTTTTCCCTCCTACAAACTAATATCACAGAGTGATTTCCTGCCCTAGAAAAAGAACTAAGACAAGACTTGAAATATTCTTAACAAGAGGCCCAAGGGCCTGAACGGTCACCTGAGCATAATACAACAATTTAGAGGATCCATAAAGTATAAAATAAACTGATAGATGAAGCTTTGTTGCCCAAAAGCAAGAGAAATAGGAAGATCAGGATCAATGAAATAATTAGTCTAGTATTCAGTAACAACTCATAAATCAAATTCTAATCTTTCCCCCATTTATCACTTTCGCAATGCAGACAATTAACAAACTATCAGTTCTTTCGTACTACTTTTAACCCCATATTGTGACCTCTCACATTGGCCTCTCTTGGTCTTTGAAGAACATTTTATAAGTTATTTTTGTCTCATTTTGATTTATTTATTATTTACAAGTCTACCTGATCATTAAAACTATGAAAGTGCTTTTTGTATTATACAATAACATTTC